TATAATTTACATATTTAAAAATATTTATTTATATAGTTTTTAAATATAATTTATATATTTAAATATAATATTTATTTTTACATATAATTTATTATCAATTTAATTATATATAATAAATGTTTAATAAATACATATGCTAATAGGCTAGCTTACCTCTACACTCTACAGCAAAACCCTTTTTTTGGGCGCTAAAATAGAGTTGGTGGACTGGAGGGCTGACTACTCCCAACTTATTTATCCTAATTGTAGTGATAGAAAATAGGTCAAATTTAGCATATACAAGTCTTATTTATTATATGTCATCAACTTTTTTTTTCTTCTATATTTAAATTGGATTTTTTAAATTCTAATTTAATTTGTTAATCTATTTAAAAGTATATTTTATATTAATAATATTAAATAGATTAATAAATATAATTTTAAATAATTTAATAAATATATTTTTAAAATGTATGTAAGTCTTTTTTTACTTTTCATGATATAAAAATAATTTATATTATTATTATTAAAATTTAGGGTTCAAAATGAGAATAAAAAATTAAGATAAAAGGGATAACACATACTAATGTACACTTACACTCACGTTAATAAAAAAGATAATTTTATCCAAATCTTTTAAAAAATATTATTGTATATTTCATTGAAAATATTCTAAATAAAAATCCATGAAAATAAAGGAAAAGAGTAAGCAAAATGTAATTACTAAATTTTCTATTTTCTATTTCTTGATTTCATATAAACATTGAAAGTAAAATGTTAATTAAGTTAGTGAAAATTTTTAAAAATATTAATAATTTAATTTTTATATTATAAATTTATTTATTTAATCATATTATTAATAATGTAATATGTATTTTATGTTTTTTATTATATATATAGATAAATAGGTCAATCTATTACATCTAACAAACTTTTTATAAGTTTAAGTTCAGTCTGCTCAGATATATAGAACTTTTTAAAAGTCTAAACTTGACCATTTTATTAAATAAATCAAGTTAGACCATAAGTTGTTGTTTAACATTTAGTCTATTCTCATCTCATTCTTAGGCTCGCATGTATTTAATAAAATAAAAATCTTTAAATTAATGATGCAAATAGGCATGACAAAAAGATATATGAACATACATGCATAATAATGGATAGCTTAGATGATACTTTATATTCATAGTTATAAATACTAGCTAAATAAAATCATTGAATATTCATATGTTTATCTTGTGTTTTTAACATACACAAAAAAAAAATCTTGTATTTTTTATATTAGTTTTAATATTTTAACAAAATTAATGCTAAATATAAGTTCAATAAATTTAACTTTAAATATAAGCTTAATTTATTTTTAATACCTTTTAATTTAAAAAAATTATAAATAACTATAGATATTTACAAGTATTTTTAAAATTAGTAAATATTCATTTAACGATACTTACACAAGTATACTAGTATAGAATATGTATGGAAAGATTTTATCTGACGGAATAGACACGAAGAGGAATAACTATCCTCAAAAAATCCCATTGTCATCCCTTGGTGTAAGAAAACTAAACTCGTAAAAAATTACTTGTATAATTTTATGAGTTTAATTTTAATGCGAAATGAGTGTAAAAAAATATAGATTTAAATGTTTTAATTCTTCATTTTATATGGATTTTGATTTTATCCCTTTTAATATTTTTTAATCTCTTATTATTTTAAAGTTAAAATTTTTTGGTTTGTTTTAAAATCTGACTCTACCAATACGATCAGAGTCAAGATACATAACTTAGTACGTAGGCTGGGTACCTGTAGGACAAAAAAAAAACATATTCACACTGTACCAAACTTTTATGATCATATCATGTTTTAAATAGTCTATCGTAGTTTAGATAAATTATAATTACACCTCGCTTAATTAATAAATATACCCTCCTATTCAAATTATTCTTGTCACTCACTCCCTTTCATCAATTTTCAACGCATCTCATTCCTCTATTGCTCACTCTTTTCCTTCGTCATTCAGCCCTTCTTCAACCATGCACATCCTCTTTTGTCACCTGATATTTTATGTTAACATACAAATAAAAATTAAATTTTAAAAAATAATAAGGTGTAACTAAAAATTAAATAGGTAAAAATTATCAAAATTTATTTACAATTTCTTTTTATGAATTTGATAAGTACTTTCTAAAATTATGTTTTAACTAAAAGCAACAAACTCACACTTCACTCTTCAGATAATATGTATCGGGCTTTGATGAATCTAAGAGAAAGAGTCTCAAGCCAACCTCAACTAAAGAAAGCAAATGATATTTACTGTTTTCTCTTTTTAATAAATATCTTTCCTTTTTATTTTATTTTTTCAATGAATTCTTCAAATACCCTTTTAATTTATACTCTTTTTGAAATATTAATTATTTTAAAAATCTATCTTTTTCATTTACCTATTTATATCTCTGACAACTTTTTGTTGATTTTTTTTTTTACATATTCACTTCTTGTACTGGGGAATTGAATACCTCTTCAACTAGTGTACAACACGAAAGGGTATTCGGCTACAAGGAAAGCCAGATACTCATCACCACCAAAACCACCTCACCCTAAGCCTAGCAGCCGCCCAGAAATCACGAAGGTTGAAGGTCAAGTACTAGTTCAGCTAATGCATAACCCGAAAGGGTACTCGGTCATAACACAAGCCGAATACCCCTTATTATTGAAGCCACATTACATTAATCTTGGTTAGATAATAGAGGTCCACGTCAGCCCAAATTAAGGAATAAAACTCAAGTTATTAATCCCTTAATCAAAAAGGCCCACCAGGCCCAAATGAGTCACTATAAATACAATATTGATGGGACAGAAAGACATGTATGATTATTTAATACTATAACATTCATTGCTCTAAACCGAACACTGACTTGAGTGATAAAGGCATCAAGGTGCTCCTCTAGGTCGGTAGTTCCATCATATCGTTCCACAGCCAAGTTTTTCCAATTGTCTGGTAAACGTGCGCTGGCGATCTCGGGAGTGAACGGTGTTCTCCCTTGTCGTCGTTGTTGATCAAGTGTTGTTGTCGTTGCTCCCTCAGGCGGCCCGGGAATTCTTGGCTCTTTGTACCACCCCGACGATTCCCCCTGATCGTGTGTAGACCGGGTGTTGGGGGTGCTGTGGGATGGGTGCCAGGAGCGGTTGTCACTCCTAAGTTCCGCGTTCTTCTTTCTTAGAATGGACAATTCATGGGCATCTTTTTCCCGAAGCCTTTTCAATTCCAACATTTCGACCCTTAGTTGTTCTATGGCGGACGATGGGTTAGCCGGCTGTGAACGATCTTCGTACGATTCTTCCATCCCTTCTCTCGTTTGATTTGCCTGCTGTGTGGGTTCTCTGGGCATTCCAAGGTTGTGAACGGCAGTGTTTTCCTGTTGACTTCTTGTTGCTACCATCTCAGTTCAGGGTCGAAAATCGTTTTGGTTTCGGCCCCACGGTGGGCGCCAAAATGTTCCTGTCTAGAAGTCACGGTTGTCGTTCCTTCTTCTTCTAAGTCTTCGGTGCCGACCGGATACTGTCTTCAGAGGGTGGGGGAGGGTACCTGCAAAGGCACTCCGACGCTCAAGTCAGTGTTCGATTTAGAGCAATGAATGCTATAGTATTAAATAATCATACCTGTCTTTCTGTCCCATCAATATTGTATTTATAGTGACTCATTTGGGCCTGGTGGACCTTTTTGATTAAGGGATTAATAACTTGAGTTTTATTCCTTAATTTGGGCTGACGTGGACCTCTATTATCTAATCAAGATTAATGTAATGTGGCTTCAATAATAGGGGGTATTCGGCTTGTGTTATGACCGAGTACCCTTTCGGGTTATGCATTAGCTGAACTAGTACTTGACCTTCAACCTTCGTGATTTTTGGGCGGCTGCTAGGCTTAAGGTGACGTGGTTTCGATGGTGATGAGTATCCAACTTTCCTTGTAGCTAAATACCTTTTCGAATTGTACACTGGTTGAAGAGGTATTCGATTCCCCAGTACAGAATACCCTTTCGTGTATTATACATTTACAATGCAGAATAAATTCTTATACTTATAAAGAATGCTGGTTTAGCTTTGAGCTGTTTTGGAAGTTCCATTTACACCTCTTTAGCAAGTGCATGTTCCTATTTGAAGAGTCGTGATTAGTGATTACACCTTGAAAATGAAAAGTGTTTCACACAAATGATCAATATTGACATTTTTAAGGTGATCTTACCTTCTCAGCAGGTGGAAGATCCTTGGCAAGTTTACAAGTATGATACAGAACCAGTTGATCATGGACCATGTAGTAATTTTTCATCAATCACCAGCCACGAGTACTTAGCATGTTCATAAAGAAATCGAGAAAAAAATATCTAGAAAAAGAAAAAAGAAAGTACGTCGCAACCGCTGTGCTTTTATATACACGGAATACACACGTACATAGGTGCAAATAATGGTGTTAGGCTTTCTAACCCGTGCCAATTACATCAAATTGGCATTAAGACAATGTAGTATATTCCATTATAAACTGGTCAAACCTTAATGTCTTGAGGGATTTTACATGGGATCAATCGATCATTGATCATGGCTGCTGAAGCAGCTGGTTGGAGACCATATCTGCGCATATTTGGAGAATGAAAACACTCTGCACTTGGAAACCTGATGGCCCTGTTGTTCAGGTACTGAGCTTCTCATACTTTCAGCTTTCAACTGTGCCCTTCTCAGCTTGTTTAGGATCTTGTCCATTGAAGACGATCTCTTCTTTTCTAATTTCATCTGCGTCAAATATCATCATGCTCAGAAGAGATTAAAATTGCCCCTGCTATCCTTATATTATTATATATACACTCTACATATATTTTCTGAGCTTTACTATACTTCAGTGTAGCATTAACATCCTCCTTCAATGAATTTAATATCTTGCTTTTAACCAATGATAATATGAAAACGAATTTGTTAGTCCCTAGACATACATGCCGTAATAAAGTAAAATATTTTAAGGATATTTTTGGATAAACTTATTTAAAAACACTTCTATAAGAAAAAAATAAGAAAGAAAAATGAAATAAACTTCTTTATAAAGTCTATCTGAATACAAATTTATAACTTTGGAGAGTTTTTCTATTAAAGTTATTTTCGATAGACAAACTTTCAAAAATGCTTAATAGAAAAGTTTATTTCTTTTTCCTTTTTTCTATTTTCTCTGTTATGAGTATTTATGTTGAAGTTTATCCTTCTAAATATTATAAAGATAGAATAGAAAAAACCTCAAGTTTCCTGATTGCCGTTTCAGCCTTTGCCTTCTGCAAATTCTCCCACGCAATGATTTTGGCTTCCTCTCTCTGTATCCTGCACCAAAACAGAAGTTCGTTGATAAATGCACAAGTAAAACAATAGCATTCTATTTCACTCTCTGGATGAATGTTGAAGAGATCCAAATATCTTGTCCATGATGATCTAAGGAACTGAAAAGCATTCTTTAGCATCCTCCAAACAGATTCTATATCTACAAATTGTTCTGCTGCAACACTTTTAGCCAAGGAACCAAAAGGACTACTACAATGAGTTTTTAAAAACATGGTATTTAGTATTTAAGCAACATACTTGGAAGTGTCCATATTTGGTTCGTCATTTTCCCAACATGATGCTTGTGTTTCGGCACTAATTGCTCTTGAGTCTTTGCTGTGCAGTGAGTCTTTATTGGCCAATTTGGTTGCATGCCTCTTGGACCACCTGATAATAGTAGCTTGACTGTCAACTTGCACATCTCTAACCTCTAACTTAGGAGAATGGCATTCTTGTTGATCCACTACTGAAGTAGCAGAAGATTTAGGAGATGAATGCGCATCATTCTCTGTCTCTGAAGGACTCATTTGGGTACCTTTATCACACCTCGAGGAATGAGATGTTAGGTTCTCCTCATTCATCGTTTCATCATGTTTCTCATCTGTAAATTAAAATAAATGAATCATTTTCAACATTTAGGTTCCTGGATGTCAACATAATATAATTTAGATTATACGGTAAAGAAGGTGTTGTGACCACCTTATCCTAGTGATTTAGAACAATAAATAAACACTCTGCAACACTTTCACCGATTTACCTCCTAGTCGTAGATAACCCAACTACCCAAGACCAAAGTTGCCATATTAAATTAGCGAATGATTAAACAATTAATATACTTAGCAAAATCCTTTATTTATTTTATGAATGAATTTTGTCTTGTTGCCCAATGTGATCTGAATACAACACAGGGTGCATTAATTATCCCTTGAAATCTAGTCACAAACCGTAGCCATCACATGTCAGAAACAGTTTTCCCTTCCACTAATCAGTTGATACACATGAAGCATCTTTTATATATATAGAATATGCAATGTAATTTGAGAAATCCAGTGGTAGTCTTGAAAATTTAATAATTTTGGCATTAACATCGAGAAGATCACTCTTACTGTACTTAAACCCATTTAACTATTTACCTAATACAAAAAGCCATAAATTTCTTAGGCTAAGATAACAACTATGATGAAATTATTATATGATCCAGAGCACTACATGGCTATTCTCAGAACCAATCTTCATCTAAACCAGTCAAGGTTTTCAGCTTAGGAAGAAAAAATTAATAAAATTTTTATTATGTGTTACATTGAGATTGATGGGGTGCACATTGTTATTTAACTATTTACCTTGAGAAATATGAGATGATTGGTCACAGGGCAGTTGAGAGCACGTGGGTGCAGTGGACATCGAAGAAAGTAACACCTCATTATTCTCATAGCCAAAAACGGTGGCATCATGTGCATCATAATGGTGAACAGAAACAGCAACCGGTGCCAAGACCCCAGTGGAGAAGGGTGAACCCACCACTAAGTTCCTCACAACCAAACCTTGGCGCAGAGGAACCACAGGCGAATAATTGGAGTAGAAAGCAGCCACTCCAGGAGGCACAATTGGGCCGCTAATGGACTTGGGCCGACGCTGAAGCTGTGCATGCGAGCTTCTGCTCTCAGCATAGGCCGAAACTGGGCTACAAATCCACCTCTCGGCCTCGTCCCATTTAGAAGGCATTGTTCTTCCACCGCTCAGCGGTGTTATCAACCCTGACATAGTGTGTCTTCTGCTGATGCTGCTTGAAGGCTTCGAAACTCTCTCTGAGCTCCACCCCTTTTGGTTCCCGAGGCTTCTGTAGTATGGATCCCCTGGACTTGGGAAAGAACCCAAGTTCTGGAAAGAAGATGAACAACTCTTCTTCATCATCACACACTCACTGTGAAGCCAGAACAGAAGAATTAATCCTATCCCACTATGAAAATGGGAAACTCAACATATTTTGACTTGTCTATGTAAAACCCTCTTTCTACTTTTACGTGTGAGGTTCATATCTCGCTGTACTTAAATCTGATTAGATTCGTTGTACCCAAAAAGAAACAACGTTAGATTTTGACTAGTCATGAGTCGTGACTCAACCACTTTGTAATGTTACACCAAAAGAGAGGGTAACATAACAATAACAACAACTACTAGAACAATTAACAAACACTAGTTGTACTGCATTAAAATATGTTACAACGAATATGAAACTAGAAAATCTTGTTGCTAAAGCATGGTAGAGTAGAGTGTTACCGGTTTTTGTCTAGTGACCATGATGTTTAATCGGTTTTAAGTAACGTTTTTGTGACGTTCATGGAATGTGGATGTGTTATATATTGTGAGAGGAGACATGTCACGTTAGTAGAAGCTGAGGGAAGTAACCATTTTTCTTAGGACAAGAACCATTCATTGAAGATGGAATAATGAGAGTGAGGAAGGTGGGTTAAGAGGGAGCAGGACGTGGACACGAGCGGTGAAACATTTTGTAGATTTCAGAAAAACCCATCCTTGCACTTGTCATGTCGGGTGTAAATTCCAAATGCACTCACATGCAGTGTACCGCAAAAAATATATTAATTTAGGTGATTTTTGTCTCGTGATAGAAATCAAAGTTAGCATTGGAGGACATGTTTGTTCAAATGGGACAAAATCGGGTTAAGATGGTATATGGGGGCTCTACTTCATTTACTCTGTGTGGCACCTGCTCTATTTGAATATATATATATATATATATATATGTAAGAGAGATTTAGTTATTTAATTTTTAAAATAATGAAAAATAATTTTATAAATTGTTGTGAATATTTTGGTAATCATAATGAAATTAAATTATCTTAAAATTTAAAATGTGTTATAAAAGGGAGAAAAATAGAGAGAACAAAGAAGACAATATAAGATGGAGAATAGAATCTGACTTATGTATTATCTTTGGGAGATGACTAACTTATTTATAAGTACATGTGGTAACTGAACAATTACACAATAAAAGAAATAATACATAACGGAAATATAAATGGTAATGATTGATAATGAATATTGGCATCCACTAATTAAGCCACTAATTATCATTCATAACACTTCCCCTTGGATGTCCAATATTTAGAATGTGCCTCGTTAAAACCTTACTAGGAAAAATCCTGTGGGATAAAAACCTAGTGAAGGAAAAAGAGTACATTATTCATAAATATTTATTTCTCCCCCTCATGCATACAATCTTTAAGACGACGGAGTCCAATCTTGTGTATCAACTGTTCAAAAACTTTTCTTGGAAGTGACTTTGTAAAGAGATCTACTAGGTTGTCACTTGAACGGACTTTTTGAACATTTATATTACCATTCCTTTGAAGATCATGAGTAAAAAAGAATTTTGGTAGAATATGCTTTGTTCTATTTCCCTTTATGTATCCATCTTTCAATTGTGCAATACATGCATCATTATCTTCATATATAACTGTCGATGTCATTTTTCCAGAAGATAAACCACAAGTTTCCTCTATGTGTTGAATCACAGATCTTAGCCAAACACATTCATGACTTGCCTCATGTAATGCTAAAATTTCAGCATGATTAGATGAAGTGGCTGATATGGTTTGTTTTACAAATCGCCATGAAATGGCTGTACCACCACTTGTAAACAAATATCTTGTTTATGATTTACCATTATGAGGATCTGACAAATAACCTGCATCTGCATAATCATTTAGTTCTGGTTTGGGAACATTTGAATATAATAATCCCATATCTATTGTACCTTTAAGATAACGAAGGATTTGTTTAAATTCATTCCAATGTCTTCGTGTAGGTGAAGAACTATATCTTGCTAAAAAATTAACAGCAAATACTATATCAGGTTGTGTATAATTAGCAAGGTACATTAGTGCTCCTATGGCACTAAGATATGATACTTCGGGACCAAGTATTTCTTCATCCTTTTCTTGGGGTCTAAATGGATCTTTGTTAACATCTAAATATCTTACAACCATAGGAGTGCACAATGGATGTGATTTGTCCATATAAAACCTTTTAAGCACCTTTGTTATATAAGTTTCTTGATGCACAAGAATTCCATTTTTTAAGTATTCAACATGCAATCCTAGACAAAACTTTGTCCTTCCTAGATTCTTCATTTCAATTTCTCTCTTTAAGCAATCTATTGCTTTTGAAAGCTCTTCAGGAGTTCCAATAATGTTTATGTCATCTACATAAACTACAATTATGAAAAATCTGTTTTCAGATCTTTCTATAAATATACACGGAAAAATTGGATCATTTTTATATCCTTTTTGTAACAAGTATTCACTTAGTCGATTATACCACATACAACCTGATTGCTTTAGCCCATATAGGGACTTATTCAATTTGATCGAATAATCTTCTTTAGAAATTGCATTGTCAGGTAAATTAAATCCTTCTAGGAGTTTCATATAAATGTCAGCATCAAGAGAGCCTTATAAATATGTTGTAACTACATCCATTAGATGTAAATTAAGTTTTTCGTGTACAACCAAACTAATTAAATATCAAAAAGTGTTTGCATTCACTACAGGTGAATATGTCTCTTCAAAATCAATATCAGGTCTTTGTGAAAAATCTTGAGCAACTAGTCTTGCTTTGTATCTCACAATTTCACCATTTTCATTTTATTTTTGCACAAAAACTCATTTGTATTCAATTGGTTTTACACATTTTGGTGTACGTAGTACTGGTCCAAAAACTTTTCGTTTAGCAAGCGAGTCTAATTTTGCCTCAATTGCATCTTTCCATTTTGGCCAATCATTTCTTTGTCGAAAATCATTGGTGGACTTTAGTACTTCATCCTCAATATCATTTATTACATTTAACGCTATATTATATGCAAACATGTCATCAATATTGACATTATTTCGATTCCATCGTATTCCATGCATGACATAATTTATTGAGATCTCTTCATTTTCAATAATTTTAGGTACTTGAGTTTCTTTTAGAACTGAAATATTAGTTATGTCAGAGGAATCTTTTTGAGTTTTTACATCCCAATTTGGTCATTTTTCTCTTTAGCTCCCTTTTTTATTCGAGAATTCTTATCCTTGGAACCAATTGGTCTACCACGCTTCAGGCGTATTTGTGACTCGTTTGCAATATTAGATTGTCCAACAGGGACTTTGACTCTTATTGGAGAATTATTCGCTCATACTAGGCATGGCAATCTAACCCATCCCCGTGGTTACCCGCCCGAACCTGCCCCGATTTGGACGGGGAAAACCTGTGTTTATCGGGTTCGGGTTCTGGTTCGGATTTTCTCCGATTGATAAAATCGGGGGCGGGGGCGGGGACGGGGATGTTAATACCCACCCTGCCCCCGCCCCCATACCCGCCCCCGCTGTTGAGTGTCTTTTATGCATGATTTACACTCAACTTTTGGTACTCTTTTTGGTACTTGTAGATATTTATATATGTTATTTTACCCCCTAAATTGGAAAAATCAAAGTATATTAAAAGGATAGAAGAGTAGTAGCAAAATCTTAATGTTTTCCCTCCATTTTTGTAGAAAAATTGAGAAGACAAAGTTCCACAACCATAGCTGTGGTTCTGGAGCTATAACTGTGGAAATTTGGGGAAAAATTTTGAAGGCCAGCTATAGCTGTGGTTCTGCAGCTATAGCTGTAGAAATCTGGAATGCTCATTTTTTGTTCCAGAGACTTGAAGCTATAACTGTGGATCTGGAGCTCGAGCTCGAGCTGTGAAAATCTGAAATACAATTTGAAGCTCCAGAGAGTTAAAGCTAAAGTTGTGAACTCAAAGCTAAAGTTTTGAATTTGAAAATAATAATGTACTATAGTATTCGTAATACTGTAGAAAAATACTAGTAATATATGAACATCACGAACAGAGGAGAAAGAACAGAGTAAGGAGGACTTGAAGAGAGAACCAGAGGAGGAACTACTACTTGGGCAGCTGGGTCATTTGGGAACGAAGCCCAACCCCTTGTTTTCATCTCCAACTTTGTAATCTCTTCTTTTACTTCTTAGATCTTGTAATGGCCATGTGTGGCTAAACTTATTAAGGATTGGTTGGATGTAACTACTAACTCCTCTTCTTCTTAAATATATGCATTTTGATCTCATTATTTGTGCATTGATTCTTCTCTTAACGCTTATATCGACTTGATCACCCGTTGTATGATTTTTGGCTTTTGAATCCAGTTGGAAAACGTTTTCGAAAACCCGAACTGAATCTTGCACCTAATCATTTCTTGTTCTAGGAATAGACTTGATTTGGTTAGTCACATTGTTCAAGTCATTGTTCTTAATGCAAAGTGTTAAACTCAAAACATAGAGGAATCATGTTTTGAGCTTAATGACTTTAGGATTCAACCTTGAGGAATCTTGTTGGATTATTTAATGAACGTGGAAATAATGGAATTAGAATCGCATGTATTTTAAGAAGATCTATGAGTTAGCAAGTGCTTCTGAACCAATCCTTGTTTCTTAACTATTGTCTTTACTACTTTTAGTTTATTGTGTGATTCTACCCTATCTTCACTCAGTTGCAATCATAACATCATTCTCATTTAAGTCATTAGAGCAAGAATTACTAAACACTCAAATCCCTGAGGACGATATTTGAATACTACTTCGAAACTTGGTTCACTTGCCAAGTGGTGTGTTTGCGAAAAACCTCATCAAGTTTCTGGCGCCGTTGCCGGGGATTTGGTGCTATTTAGTAATTCTCAATCTTGTGATTTTGTAATTTTGTAAATAATTCATTTTGTGAATATTTATAATATAGAGATATTTTTCTTGTTTTGTTTTGTGGACTCACCTTGTTGTGCAGACTTCTTGGAATTGTATGCGAGGGAAAACTCCAGCCGAGGAATTACATTTTGACCCTGAAATTGAAAGAACGGCAAGGAGGAACAACAGTAGAACAAGAAGGCTTAGACAGTTAGAGATAACCCAAAAACAACAGCAGGATCTTCTGAGTTCTTCAACTTCATCAAATCAACCATTCCTTGAATCAGAAATGGCTGAAGAGGGAACAGGAGGACCAGCTAGGCAGCCAAGAAGGACCCTAGGTGATTATGCACAACAACATGGTCCTAGGCATTTCTTTAGCATTGCAGCTCCAAATACTTCTAGAGAAATGGAGATGAAGCCTGCCTTCCTTACTTTGGTTAGCTAACAACAATTTGCTGGCCTTGATCATGAGGACCCATACTCACACCTTTCAAATTTCTATGAGCTATGTGGAACAATGGGAATTCCTGAAGGTGATGAGGAAGCTGTATACTTGAGGTTGTTTCCATTCTCTTTAACAGGAAAAGCTAAAGTTTGGTTACAATCTAACCCAAATCAAAGTTTGAC